TCCAAATTCTATGTGGGAGATATGTACTTAAGAACAGTAACTAGGTAAAAAAACCCACATGTAAGCATACTAGTATGAAAGCACACTATTACTCAGGGGAATTCTGTGTAATTCTGTAGAATTCTGTTATTTGGCAAACGAAACCTGTTACGAGTAGCTCATGACAAAAATATTGTCTCACTTTTCCCGTGTAGCAGCAAAAGATGCTACCTTTTCCTTTACAGCACAGACAGTGTCATGGATTCTCTCACAACCACACTACTTCTACCCTGCTTTTACACAGAGCAATAAGCACCATCATATCTTTGTATAGACTCTATTCATGAGAAGTACACCATGAGGATCTTTATGAATAATGGAGAGTAAGTGGCAACGTAGTCTTCCAGAAAATAAGCTGATCAGTATTATGAATCCAGAGGAGGGCCACAAAGATGACTGGAGGGATGAACACCTCTCCACTGAAGACAGGTTGAGAAAGTTGGGGTTTTTCAGCCTGGAGAAGGCTCTGGGGAGACCTTACAGCAGCTTTGCAGTAGCTAAAGGCAGCCTACAAGAAGTCTGGAGAGGGACTTTTTACTGGGGCCTGTAGTGATAGAATGGGGCCTTAAATCAAAACAGGGTAGGTTTAGATCAGATGTTAGGAAGAAATTCTTTACTGTGAAGATGGTGAGGCACTGGAACAGGTTGCCCAGAGAAGTTGTGGATACCCAATCCTTGAAAGTGTTCAAGGCCAGGTTGGATGGGTCTTTGAGCAATCTGGTGTCATGGAAGGTTCCCTGCTTCGTAGCAGGGGGATTGGAACTAGGTGATCTTTAAGGTCCCTTCCAACCCAACCATTCTATGATTCTCTGATATACTGTAAAAAGACAGGAAAAAGGAACTGCAGGTTTCAGAAGAAAAATGATCTGATGTGAGAAAGAAGCTATTGTAATTAAGATATATGAAGTAAAGTACTAGGAAAGAAAAGGGGAATGTAGAATTCCCTTCACACTCATGAAAGTGGACAAGGGGAGGGCTACAGATGTCATCTATCTGGACTTGTAAAACCTTTGACATGGTTCCCCATGATATCCTTCTCTTTAAATTGGAGACAGATGAATTTAAGGGTGTCATGGTTTGAGCAGCCTCAAAATCCAATTCTTGATTCCTAGCCCCCCTCCCACATCTCAACCCCATGTGAGATGGGTTTTCCAGACAAAAACACAAGACTCAATATGGGGGGAAAGGAATATATTACAGGACTGTACAAATAAATACTTATACTATAATACATTACATATAATCTTAACTCTCTTTCTATCTCTACCATGACAATAATATTTACAGTGGGCCAAATCTCTTCTCCCTCCAAATAAAAGTCCAGGAGGGAAGAAGAAGAAGAAGAAGAAGAAGAAGAAGAAGAAAAGACCCCTTCCAGTCTCTCAGCAGCAGGTGTCTCTAGGCAGCAGGCTCTCTGTGTCTTTCATGAAGCAGTTGCAGCTGGATCCTTGCCAATGCCCACGAGGGGGGTCTCCAAGCCCCTCTTGGCCCCTCGACGCCAAACAAGGGGTCTTTCAGTGGGCTGCTTCACCCCAGACAAGGTTGCGTCACCACGGTCATATCACGAAGCACCGGGGTCTTCGTGACGGTCTGATAT